GAAGGAAGGAAGGAAGGAAGGAAGGAAGGAAGGAAGGAAGGAAGGAAAGAAAGAAGGAAAGGAAAGGAAAGGAAAGGGATTGGCTCAAAGTTACCTAACTGGTTTTCATGCCTAACGCAGGACTAGAATTCACCAATCTCCTGGTTTTTAGTCTAGTGCCTTCCTCACTACACCATTTATGATTAGGGTTATGATTCTCATCACAGACATATTTTATTTATACTGTATGTTTGTGTATATATTCTATTGATAATTTATCCATACAGGATTGAAAACCTCTCAGTGGACGATTGGAGCCATATGTAAGCCCAAATAATATAAATAAATATCTTGAAACTTATATACATACATACACACACACACACACACACACACACACACACACACACACAAACATTACATACATCACATGACATTTACTAATCAAACAACAATTTCAAACATGAAAAACATAATCCAATTGTTCACAATGGCCATCTTCTCTAGATCTAGCTATTTTCTCTAGCTATTTGTCTAGCTATTTTCCAAAGCCCAGACAAGGAATAATGTATGGAAACTGAACAAGGAGAGATTCAACCTGGAAATAAGGAGACATTTTCTGACAGTGAGAACAATCAACTAATGGAACAGCTTACCCTCAGACGTTGTGGCAGCTTCATCACTGGAAGTTTTCAAAAAGAGACTGTCATCTTTCAGAAATTCAGAGACTTTCAAGACTGTCATCTGTCAGAAATGGTGTAGGGTCTCCTGCTTGGGTGGGGAGTTGGACTAGATGATTTACAAGGTCCCTTCCAACTTTGTTAATCTGTTAATCTACTATGGTCTGTTAAAACACCTTCAGCAGGGGTCCAAATGGAGGTATACTAGCAACTACTGCTTACAGGACTTGCAACTAGACATCTACACAGCAATTTGTAAGTGCCAGGTTGATAGGATAATTCTAAAGCCCTTTTAGTTGAGAGAGAAATATCAGAACAAAGGAAAAGAGCACTGACCCACTGAATAAGTGCATACCCAATGGCCACACTTTGATTTTGTAACATTTAACATTTAATCTCCCTCCAGTGCCCTTTATCACTTTCACCAATGCTAATCATCAAATAAATAAGTGAACAGTCATTTATTTATCATACAACTCTGCTTTCTTATGCACCAAGACTGTTGAGATTGCACAACATTTCAAGTGAGGATAGTTGAGGAAAAAGTCATGTAATCAATCTGCCATAGGGAAGGGCCACTCTTGCAAAGGGAACACAGTAGTACCTCAAAGGAAAAGAGAATTGGGACTTAGGAGGCAGAAACTCGAGATCTCACATGCTGGAGTTCTCGGGGATGTCCTCAAGTATAACACTAAATAAATAAAGAGATAATTATGAAGTCCAGTATTTAAATTTGCCTCACGGATGCTTTTGAACTCTGATGTTGGAGAAGACTCCTATGAGCACCACGGACAGCCAAGAAAACAAACCAATAGATCATTGAACAGATCAACTCAAAGTTCTCACTTGAGTCACAAATGATCAGGCTGAAATTAACAGAGGTCTAGCTGTTGTGCAGGGAAAGGGAAGAAGAAGACAACCAACCAAAAGGTGGATGGTGTCAGCTACTAGGAAATAAGTGCACTATTGGAAGATCCAAAAACCAGGTTAGGAACGGACTGTTATGGAGGAAATCTATCCATATGGTCACTAAGAATTGATAGCAACTCGACCATACCTAATCAATGCATCAAAAGTGCACTACTGCATACCAGATATTTGATTTCTACTAACAAATGAAAATGATTTTTTTCTAAACCCCTAATACATTATCTTCTGGAAGCTCGAACATATACCAAAGAACAGAAACATCAGTACAAATACACCCTATACAATTTATACACCTTATACAATTCAGATAGACCCAAACTGGCTGGGAATTCTGGGAGAAACAATCCTAACGAAGCAATTATCAGTCCTTAGAACTTCCTTTCCCAAACCTGCTACTTTTAACTCCTCTGAACAGAAACTTCAGTGATTAAATATTTCTGCGTCCAGAGGACATGTTCTTTATCAACAAAGTTATGGGGTATGACACTCATCATTCCACTGAATTCTAATTTTCAATATTCATTGTGTTTCAATAATGACAGATTGCTCTGTAAATTGCTTATTCTTCTGCAAATGCTCGCTGGAATGCCATCTGTAAATTTTGCAGAGCAAAAAGCAGCAATATACTACCACCTTGTGGTCATATGAATTTTAGCAGAAAGGTTTTAAAAACCTGTTTTAAGTGAGTCATAGAATTACAGAACTGGAAGTCACTTAAAATTACATCAGCTTTCCTTCTCCTCATTTCTTTTTCTGGTGTTTTTTAAAGTGTGATCCTGGAGGTAATATAAGACTCTTTAAGAGGTCCATGAAATCACCATTAATTTGCCAGATATTGCAGCTACAGGTAGGTAGTCCTCGACTTACAACAGTTCACTTAGTGACCATTCAAAGTTACAACGGCACTGAAAAGTGACTTATCACCATTTTTCACACTTATGACCATTGCAGAATCCCCATGATCAAAATTCAGAGGCTCATATTTATGATGATTGCAGTATTCCAGGATCATGTGATCGGTTTTTGCAACCTTCTGACCAGGGGTGGGATGCAAATATTTTTACTACTGGTTCTCTGGGCCTGGCTAGGTGGGCGTCACTAGGTGGGCGTGGCCATGTGGCTGGATGGGCGTGACTTCTTTTTTTTTTGCAGCACATCCCCCCACCCCCGTTCTCCTTTTTTTTTTGCTTCCTGAGCCTCAGGGAAGATTCCTGGGAGGCCGTTGTTGCTCCCAAGAGGCTTTCCTGAGGCCCAGGAAGCCAAAAATGGAGCACGGGGGGGCGGGGTTGCACTCCGGGAAGCCTCCTGGTGAAGCAGTAAGACAGTGAGGGGAATCCCAGCACAGCTGATCGACGGAACAGCTGATCGTTGGGAAGAAAAAAAAAGAAATACTGATTCAGCTGAACCAATAGCTGTTTTTTTTACTAGCAGTTCAGCCGAACTGTAACATTTTTTTACTACCGTTTCACCCGAACCGAGCCGAATGCCACCACTGCTTCTGACCAACAATGGGAAATGAAGATTCCCTTAGCAATCATGTTACTAACTTAACAAATGCAATGATTCACCTAACAACTGTGACAAGAAAAGTTGTGAAACGGAGCAAATTCACTTAACAAATGTTTCACTTAGCAACATAGATTTTGCATTCAATTGTGGCCATAATTTAAGGGCTACCTGTATTTAACTCAACATTATTCTTTATCATTTTTATCTGTTAAAATTACAGTTTTTTCATAAAAACATTTTATTTAAATCAACATCTAATGGCTTTAATGTTGTTATTTTACATGATTCAATTCTACAAATGCATCCATTTTCATTTTTAATTCAATTAATATAACCCATACAGACCAAATCTTTTTTGCGGTTGGTCCTCTATAATTTTTAGAAGTGGGAAGAACAAAATATTTAAGAAACAGTCCTAGAGCAATCTTGGAATCAGGATCCTAGTTTTTAGAATAACATTTGTGTATAAAAAAAGGATTGTTTAAGAGATGCTGGGCTATAACTATTGTTATTTCAATGACATTCTCATGAGTTTGCTCCAAACCATTCCTCAGAAAATAAATCAATAATAAAGTGTTGGAAGTTAAAACCTACCCCTCTCCGGGGAAAATGAAATATTTTAGGATCTACTAAAAAGGCAGAATATTTCCCCTAAAAAGAAAAGTAGAAACTCAGCCCCCACCCCCACCTTTGCTAATAGGCCATTTCTCAGGCCTGGGCCAGTCTATTTTACATAACAAAGATCTACTCCAGATGGAGCCATAATAGGAATTGTCCAAAGCCCTTTCATTACATTATCATCCAGCAAGGCTCAACCAAGCCTGGAACTCCGGACAGCCTACAGAGTTGCCCCTGCATGGCCCCCCTGGGAGTCTGATGGCCCCCTGGGAGTCTGACAACCAATCAGAATACGAGCTCAAATTCAAATCCCAGCAGAGAGCATAAAGCCAAGGGACTCTCAGCATCTCTTCCCTTTTTTCTGCCCAGGAACCCATCCTGTTCATCAATAAACCATATTTCCAAACAGTCACCATGTTTCCCATGTCTTTCTTCCCCACCTGGAACTGATCCCAGAAGGATATTTCTTCCAACAAAAGGAAATAGAGAAAATGGAAAATGCCATATATTAGTATGAGTTTAACAGGCAGCCATGTGAATCACACAACTTGTCAATTAAATGAATTAGTTGGCTTTGACTATGTAATCATCTCAGTTAAAATTAGGGATTTGAAAGAACTGAAGTTTTGGTGCTGTATTAGGCAATTGATCAGAAATAATATCTGAGTTATTGATCACAGAATGATTGTGTATCTGTGACCAACAACATATTATTTATTTTTAAAAATTACCTCAAGGCAGCTGGCAATTTTGTCCCATTCAGACGGTGTCATATTTGAAGAATCTAGTAGAGGAGAAAGTTCCAGGATGGTGTAGATAATTCTTTTATCCTGGTTGGAAGAACTGTCATAAAAAAAAATCTTCTGAAATAAACTGTTTTAATGATACTCTTTTTCAAATAACTCTGGACAAAGGTATCAAGTTATAGTTGATGAGAAAATCTATAAACAGAATGGCTTTCATGCAAGATATTCCTGGCAACTTGTGAAGGGCTGACCTGGTACAGATGCAAATAAACTTCAACACCCACAGTCATTCTGAAGTTGGGTAGCACCTAAAATGAATAATTAAATTAAATTAAACCCCTATACCCCTCCTTGACTGTCACTGTGCAAATTCATTTCCCTCTCTGTCAGCCTCCTGAGGTTCCACTATTCCACATTGTTCTAACATCTTTTAATTCTCTGTACCCATCCTCAACCTCCAACTTTACCAACTCCACAAAATAGAAAACTCCAAATCCTGTTTTGCACTAAGTACACAAGAGTGCCATCTTTTTTATAAAAAAGAAATGTTTATCTGTACTAAAATAGTGAGGTTTTCCTTTAAAAATCAGCATTAATTTAAACTAATTCAATCATTTTCCATCTATTTGATATGGTATCTATTCTATAATTGTCTGATTTGGTACAGCAACCAAACAGGACAGGTTCACAGACTCCAAATGGATATTAAGACTGCAGAAAAAACAATTGCAACCAGCCTGCCTTCCATAGAAGACCACTACATTGTAAAGGTCAGAAGGAGAGCTGAGAAGATATCTGCAGACCCCTCACATCCTGGTCATCAACACCTTCCCTCAGAACAGCGCTATAAAGTATTGTATGGCAAAACAACTAGGCAAAGCGACAATTTTTTCCCTCATCTCTTCATGCTCTCAACACTTAATTCTTAGTGCTGCCTTATGTCTATTAATCCATGTATTGTGGCTGTGGTATTATTTATTCTTATTCTTATCTTCTTTGCTCCCCCTTTTATTGGTAATATTATTATTATTCTATTGCTTTGCATGTACATTGAGTGCTTCTGTATGGAGACAAATTCCTTGGGTGTCTAACCACACTTGGCCAAATAAAGTATTCAATTTAATTTAATTTTAGTTAATTTAGATAATTGGCCAGGTATTACAATTTTATTTCGTCAAACCGCAAAGGGATTAGCTCAGGATTTGGGCGGCTCCAATCCCAATATATCTGAAGAGTCCCAGGTTGGAAAGGGTTATTCTAGACACAATTTTAAATATTTTTTTAAAAAATATCCAGGATGCTTCAAGGAAATTCAAAAACTCATTAAATGAAAACATTCCAGTATTCCAAATACATACGGAAGTACCAAAGTGTCAACTCCGAGGCGGTTATCTAGTTGTGTTTCCTTGGCATATGTTGCATCATGAAGTATGGTCATCTTTTTCAGAGCTTCTGCAAGCTTGTTAGCTTCAGGGACAAGACCTGAGAAACAAAAAAATCATGAATAAAACAATGTTCTCTGAATGATCATCTGAACTTTGAGACTGAGATGCAGGTCGGTAGTAGAAACATGGTTCGCATGAAGATAATTCCAGGTTCATTCCTTGCATCTCCATTTAAAGCTAGACATATTCTTGCATAAAACCCTGAATAGTCATTTCAACGATTGTGAAAATAACAAGCAGAAATGGATCAATAGCAAACATTTACTATACTGTTCCACTAGAACCAAAAAGAAAATTCATATAAACTGGTATCTGAAATCATAAAACATTGCCCATGTATTTTGCTTATCTAACACTGAAAAGAGGCAAGGTATGAAATGAAACAGGAAAGGCTATCACCTGCAACAGATTTTACACCATCACAATATTGTTTAGTGCAATATGTGAATGTCGTTCCTGTACTTTTGGTCCCTCCCAACTAAATCAACAATGAAGGGTCTGGCTCACACTTAAGTTGCTTCAGAAGAATCCTGAAATGTTTAGCATCAGCCCATTTCATTATAAAATTACTGTAAGCATTCGACTTAATCTAATTCACATTTCTCGTTGACAGTATGTCCCAGATTAATACAAGTAGTCCTCAACTTAAAATCATAACTGAGCTTGGCATTTACGGTCGTAAGTCATGTAAGTTGTAAAGTGGGTCACCACGTGACCAGACCTGTTTTTGTGACCTCTTTTTGTGTGTGTGTGGCAGTCAAAAGTGAATACTGGACTTCCGGTTTGAGCTTCTTCAGCAACAGACCGAAACCTCGTCTCTGCGAGGCTTCGATCCGTGCTCGCCGCTGGAGCACCCCGAGCCGGCTGGTTTTGGGGCTAAGCCACCCCATAGAGGTGGTGAAGAGGGGGGAGACTGCCAGCAGGGTTGAGGAAAGCTGCATCTCTCCTCCCCAGCTGGCCATTACTCCCTTTCCCGAAGGCGGTTGCAGCAGTGGTCAGAAATGGCCACAACAAAGAAGAACTCGACCGGAAAAGAATGTGCAGGAGGAAGATAAGAAGAGAAAGTTTTGGTTGACCGGGTCAAACAGCAAAAGCAACAAATAAGGTACCCTGGAATTGAAACTGTTAAAAAACAATAACATTGTTATTGAGAAGATTTTATCTAAGAAGATTTTTAAGCTGAGAAGGAGAGAGAAAAGGGAAAAGATTTGGTATTCTTCTTTTCCTATACTGACAGCTAAGAGACTTAAGCAAGAAATTGGAAAAAAATCCACTTTGACATCAATAGGCATTTAATGCTGAAAATAAAAAGTCAAAGGGATAATAAAGATTTCTGGATAATTAAAAGCTTTTGAAAACAGGAAAGGAGAGAGGAAGAATAAAAGGGCAGGATCTGGAAGGGAGGAGACTGCCTAGAATTAAAAAAGAACTTACAGCAAAATCTCAACAAGACTTCCAAAAGATACATTCTAACTGAAATATCGCAACAAAAACCCCAGGAAGAGAAAGTCAAAAAAGAAATAAGAAGATATAACTCAGGACTATCTGGATTACTTGATGATTTCTGGATTCTTGGTTATTGTATTTGAATGACTAAAATCAATCGGGTGGTTGTTTAAAACTGTTTAAAATGGTTCCACTTTTAGAAGAACTGAAAATTGAACTTAAAAAGTACAAAGAAGATGCACAAGAAGGGAGAGGTTCTTTTGGCTTAGTATTTCAGTTTTTAGAAATGGAGATTTGGAATTATGAGAAACAACAAGAAATGCCTGCAGAACAAGAAGATTGTGACAAAGAAGAAGCCATCTTTAATGAACAAGTAATGTTAGATGTGGGGAAAAAAGGAAAGGGGAGAAAGAGAATGGAAAGTTTAAGATTGGGAAAAACAACTCAAAAAAAAAAAAATAGAGTGAAAAATAAGTATAGAATCAGAAAGCAACAGAAGAGGGAGATGCAGAAGATAGAATTAGAACTAGAGAGGCAAGGGGGTAAAAGGGGGAGGGAGAAGATGAGAGGGAAGAAAGAAAGGAAAAGAAGTGATAAAGGACAGAAGCAAAATATAGAGAAACAGGGCCTATTTAGAGATAATGGGTGAAAATTTAATGGAAAAGGGGATTCTGCAAAGGTACATAAGATAGTATGGTTATATTAGAAGCAGAAATAATTTTAGAAAACATGAAACAATGTATGATTAAAATGTCTTATAAAATAGCTATCGTAATTCAGTAGAATGCTTGTCAATAAATAAATGTAACAAAAGGTATATTTAATGATTTATAAAACATATGTGAAGAGAAATAAGGGAAAAATTAATTATAGATATTATATGTGTTTTTAAGGAAGTATGATATTTAATTGAAAAGAAGTGTTAAAGTTAAAATTTTAATGATTATTAATGATAGAACTGAACTAGAATGGAATGAGGGTTTATAATTATATATATTTACAATCTTTCTTTTTTTTTAAAGAATATAGTGTGTATTATAAGAATGTGCCAAGCAGAATTCGATTGGAAGTTATGTATTATGTATTATATTGAAGGTCATAAACTTAAGGTATATATTGAAGTTTAAATAAGAGTTGAATGGATGTAATTAAAAGATATAAGGGTGTCATACTCCAATTAGTAACTACAGGAGAAAATTTGTTTAATGAGAAAAGATAATATGAAATTGAAACAGAACAGACAAAAGTATAAATATAATGATTTGAATTGAGATGAGATAATCAAAATAAAATTGGGAAAATTAAAAGAGGGGAAAAACTATATAGAAAATGTAAAATAGTATAAGATATGGAATAGAATACAAAAAGGAGCATGAAATTGAGTTTTGTGTCTGTATAAAGAAGTTCAACCCGGGACCATGCTATTTTCAAAAAAGATGTTTTACTTGTATTTTGTGTGTGAAAACCCAAATAAAACTTTATTTTTAAAAAAGTAAATACCATAGTCATTAAGTGGTTGTTAAGGGAACCATTTTTCACTATGTATTGATTTTTTACTGGAAGTAAACATTGATTTCTGGCAAAAACATTATAAATTATGGCTACATAAATCGGGCTGCTAGAAATGGCCTAAAACATGATCCGGTTGCAGTCATGTGACCATTTCAAAAGTGTGTCATAAGTCCCTTTTGAGGCATCAGTGATAAATCAAGGACTACCTGTATTGCTTTTAAACAATTTTAATATGCCATGTGATCAGAAAAAGAAACTAGGTCTTCCAATTCCTAAAAAATTAGCACTGTTTACATGAAATAAAATATTGCATTACAATAGTACAGTACAAATCTTGTTTCAAAAATTAGGTTTTCAGGTATGCAAGTATTTGTCAAGAATAAACATTTTTCCATGTTAGCCTTGCATATGGAGGAAGTGCCCTTTACGTGAGGGGTTTGCCTTGTTCAGGAACATCTTAGTCACTTGGAATAGTGCTCATTTTCAATATTACTCAGGGAGCTGTTGCAATAGGCTAACTGAATTGCACTGTTGCAATAAACTAGCCAAATTACAGAGCTACTTTAAAACTTCCAGACCTAAGCCTCCAGGTTTTCTTCCTTGTGTCTATAAAAAGAAAAAAATCTAAAACATCAACTAAGGCCTCTTGTTATCATTTTATTTGGATGTATCTAACACTTGAGAGCCAAAGAATCCTTCTGCAAGTTGCCCTGTATTACCAAAAAGTTGGGAGAAAAAATGAAAGTTGGATCAAGAAGAAAATTGTGTATTAATAATTGACCCACACATCCCTAGGCAAACGCATGTAAACATCCAAAGTTATTCAGGGAGGGTGAAGTAATATGAATGTATATCAAAGGTTCATGATGAAAAGTGACTTATTTTGGTGTGAACTAGTATGGAACAATCCTATGCATAACAAGTCAGGGAAAAGAAGCAAGAAATAGTTTCTGGCATTCTTATAGATCTTTTTACCAGCTTTTGATTACAGGAAGCATCAATTTTACAGTTATGTCTTTATGTGTGTTATGCTCTGCATAACAGCTATATCTCTCTGTGCATGTGCAAAGGGACTACTGAGGCAAGTGCATATAAATTATTCTAAGTATAATATGGTTAAGACATCTGGGTAGAAACCAGGAGACCATGAGTTCTAGTCCTACCTTAGGCATGAAAGCCAGCTGATTTGGGGCCTGACATTCTCTCTCAGCCCAATCCACCTTACAGGGTTGTTGATATGGGGGAAATAGGAGGAGGAAGGAATATTAGGTATGTTCACCACCATCTTGAGTTATTTATAAAAATAGTAAAGGTAGGAAATAAATAAATATGTCTAATCTCCAGTGTTGCGCTTATGTATGCCCAATATGAGGCAGGCTGCATTCCCTCAGCTCTGGGTCATGCATTTGGGAAGGATGGAGAAGGAATGGAGATATCCAACCCCTGGATCATGTGATCATAAAGGAAGCACATGGTAGGCTTAGAATAGAAGTGTTAGCATTCAGAAAACAGATAATCAGAGTTGGAAGGGACCTTGTTAACCCGCTACTCAAGCAGGAGACCCTACACCATTTCTGACAGATGGGAGTCCAATCTCTTCTTAAAAGTCTCAAGCGATGGCGTGCCCACAACTTCCGAGGGCAAACTGTTCCATTGGCTGATTGTTCCCACTGTCAGAAAGTTTCTCCTTATTTCCAGGTTAAATCTCTCCTTGTTCAGTTTCCATCCATTATTCTTTGTCTGGCCTACAGGCACTTTAGAAAATAGCTTGACCCCTTCCTCTCTGTGGCACCCCCTCAAATACTGGAAGACTGCTATCATGTCTCCCCTGGTCCTTCTCTTCACTAGACTAGCCATGCCCAGTTCCTGTAACTGTTCTTTATATGTTTGTCTCCAGTCCCCTAATCATCCTGGTTGCTCTTCTCTTAACTTTTTCTAGAGTCTCAACATCTTTTTTATAATGTGGGGACCAAAACTGGATGCAGTACTCTAGGTCTTACTAAGGCTTTATAGAGTGGTATTAGTACCTCACTTGATTTTGATGGTATTTATTCCACTTTTTTATAGCTTACTAAGGGTCTACTTTGTCGAATGCCTTACTGAAATCTAAATATATTATGTCTACATTCTGAACCAATGTGCAAGTGCTTCTCCCATAGGGCCGTGATGGCAAACCTATGGCACACGTGCCAGAAGTGGCACGCAGAGCCACTTCTGCCAGCATGCGAGAGGTCACCCAGAAGAGTCCTACTGCACATGCATGCATGCATGCACTGCTACCAAAGAGATGGTTGTCAGGTATCTGGCGCACATGTGCAGGGGTGGGGTACATGGGAGATGCATGCACATGTGCAGAGATACATAGCACATGCAGGGGGTCTTGCACACATGCACAGAGACACATGGCGCACGGGGGGGAGTCGCACATGCATGCGCAGGGGTTGTGGGGGGGCCAGCACACAAGCATGCACACAATTTTCAGCACCGGAGCTGAAAACGGTTAGCCACCACTGCCTTAGAGCAGGGATCTCCAACTTTAGCAACTTTAAGACTTGTGGACTTCAACTCCCAGAATTCCTCAGCCAGCTCTGAGAGTTGAAGTCCACAACTCTTAAAGTTGCTAAGGTTGGAGACCCCTGTCTTAGAGAATATTTTACGAAAAGAATTCGCCATTGCCTCAACCTGGACCCAGCTCATTTGCAGACCTGGCCCTTCTTTTGTTGTTTTGTCCTATTAAATAAACTTTATATCTCTCTTTTTTAGTTATCTTGCTGCCAGATGATGGAATCCCAGTCTCCTTTACATTACAGTATTCTGTTCCAACAAAGAATTAAAAATCTCTTTCAAATCATATTCAACACCTGATGGCTTCATGGACATCCCCTTTCCACAATCCTAATCACATTAGCGCCCCCCCCCCCCATTTACCCAATGAACTCATAAGACCAATGATCATATGAAATCATTCATATTTTTCATATGAGTGTGTCTACTGAAGTCAGCTTCAGGGTGGCTGCCATTGGCTAAGATCTCAGGAACAGTCAAGTAGAAGAAATTCAATAAATGAGACCAAATTTCTTGAGTTGCCCTCTCCAGTGCAATCAAGCAATCCCCGAATTACAAACTTCCCCAAAACTACTTATGACCAATAGGCACGATGGTTGGAAGAGAAGGAAGATGTACTCTATCCCAAAGCTGCTTTGGGGTTTCTGGTTTTTCTTTGAAGATGTTGCACTTCTCATCCAAGAAGCTTCAGCCGAAGAAACTTCTTGGATGAGAAATGAAACGTCTTCAAAGAAAAAAAGTCCAGATGCCTCTTGAAAAATAAAATAAAAAAAGCACCTTTGGGGACAACCACGACTTGGTGACTGAGAATCCCCATAGACATTAAGCTGTACTCTGGCACATATGAAGAGCACCAGATTGGACTCCCGTTGTATAGGATGGCTTCAATCGGGCTAGATTTCAATAGGCGCTTCTATCCACGAGGGGCAGGTGAAAGCGTCTTCTGTTGAATTTCTGCCGAGAGAGGCGCGTGCAAGGAGGGAAGGATTCGTGGGGAGAGAAGATCGCTCCTCTCTTTGAGGGGCTCGGCTCGTTACTCCGCCTCCTCGAGCGCCTTCTGACTCAACTCACCCTCTGACTGGGGCACCATCCCGATCGTCCCCCCGGTGTTGATCACCAGCACCCACACTTCGGCCATGGGTCTGCATCCGATGTCAAGGGCCGGAGCGGGCTCGGTGTACGAGAGAGCCCTGCCCAGCTCGCCGCTCTCTTCTTCTGCCATGACGGTTCACCCCGGTAGGAAAGAGGAAGGGCCGGAGGTAGGGATACCCCCGACGGGCAAGCTGGGCATCCAAATACCGGCTCTTAGCACCGCCCCTTTCCGGGCTCGTCGTCTCCCATTGGCCAGGCCTCGTCCTACCTCCCCAGTAAGGGGCGGAGGGACACGGCAAGACCCTCTCCAGCTTCCTCCCGTTGAGCCACTGGGTTGCGCGGAGGTGACTAGCGAGGGCAGGTGTCCTTCACCTCCTGACCTGGGGAGGTTTCATTGCCCTCCGGCGGTTCCACCTCCCTCCCTTCAATGTACTGCCGCCTTGAGCTCTTCTCTAAGAGAGGAAAACAAAGTGCGCCCACCCCACCCCCGCTTTTTTATTGAAAGCCGGCGCTGAGAAACAAGCCGGGGCGAAAGAAAGCTGGTTGAAGAAGAGACCGGATAGTCACTTCCCTGAAATGGTATAGGATCTCCTGCTTCAAGCAGCGGGCTGGACTAGTAGTTCCAGCTCGATTCTGATTCTGATTCTCTCTTAAAACTTTCCCTGAGCCGCCTCAAAGACAAGCCCCCACTTTTCTTTTGGGTCGATGTTTCAATTATTAACGTTTTCGAAATCAAAATACAGGGTGAAGAAGTTCAAAGCAAAGAGGGTGAAGTATCTTGCTGCGTCAGACCAAGAAAACGCCGAGTTCAACATTTCCGTTTCGACACCGACCGGACACCCCAAAGCCTTTTCTTTTCTGAAGGGGCCCGTATGAAAACGTCTGCCTTGGGCTGTTGTGTGCTCTTATATTGATGAACGGCCTCTAAAAATTCAGTGAACTTTTAGGGTGACCTTTGAAACGGCTGGATGTTGGATCTTCGAATAACGGAAAAGTGATTTTCCAATTCCCACAGCGTGTTGAAATTCAGTCAAACGCCTACGGTTGCCCGTTTTCAAAATAAAGAATATATTTGGCACCTTAGTCTAAAGGGCTCTGGGATTTCCTGCTGTTTTTTTTTTTTTTTAACATAAAGGCCTATAGTATTCTATATGTTCCAATAACACTCAAAACATATATCATTACTTTTGTAATTTTTTTTAAAGCTCTCCCTCTGCTTTGGGGTGGGGGGGTGGGGGTGTTTTCTTTTCCATAATAGAGCCACCTCTTGACCTACCCTTCCTTTGTAATAACTGTACAGAATAACCGCGGTTTGTACACCTTTTGTCCTTTTCTTTTTTTACTTCCATATATTTTGCAGGGAACAATTTAAGATGTTTCGGTGCCTGAGGTGGGATGTATGTACTCTAGCTAAGTAAGTATATAATGGATTTATAGGGCTGCCAAACTCAAACAAAGTGGTTCTGGACAGCATGTGAGCAAATGGACAAAGAATCATTTCCTCAGATTTCTCCAGGGTAGGAAAAATTCTCCTACAGCTATTTAACATTCACATTTATCAGTATTAATAGTGAACTTGCCATGTTTGTTTGAAAGAGGGCTTTTACTTTCCTTTTATTTTTGTTTTCATTTGCTACAATTGCTATTGCCTCCCCATAAGAACTGTGTTGGAGATTTTGCTCCCTAGTGGCTTGGACCATTTTTCTGGAATATCGTAGAATCATACTTGGACAAATGAAAAACGCCAGCAATGAAGCACCCACAACTCCAGAAGACAAACTATTCCATTGACTAATTGTTCTATCAAGAAGTTTCTCCTTAGTTCAAAGTTCGATCTCTGACTAGCTTCCACCGATCATTTCTTGTCCTGCTCTCAGATGTTTATGAAGAGTCAGAACAGTTCCGGTTGCCCCAAACAATGTAGTTTTTGGTGACTGACCCTGTATGGCTCCTTGGTTTATTTTACAAAAGAAAATTCCAGGAAATGAAATTGTAGAAGTAATATCTGGAGCACCAGTGAAGATGAAAAGCCAGTTTGAGTTATATAACACAGGTAGTTCTTACAACCACAACTAGAACCAGAATTTGAATTGCTAAGTAAGTTGTTAAGTGAGTTGCACCTGATTTTACCCTTTTTTGCCATGGTTGTTGAGTGAATCACATGGTCATTGAACAAATCCAACTTCCCTCTTTGACTTTTCTTGTCAGGAGCTGGCTGGGAAAGTCACAAATGGTGATCACATGATCCCAGGATGCTGTAACCATTGTATATATATGATAGTTGCCAAGCACCCAAATTTTGATCACATAACCATGGAGATACTAATGACAATCATAAGTGCAAGGATAGGTCCTGTCACTTTTTTCAGTGCTGTTGTAACTTTGAACAGTTGCTAAACAATTGGTTGCAAGTGGAGGACTACCTGTAAGGATTGCAAGGGTGAAGCACCACTTTTCCTCTCTTACTGGAACATCGGGCTGCACTCCAATAGCCTCGTTTATCTGCCAAACTACTGCGAACAATTTGTACTGCACTTTACCAATAAAGTCAATCAGATTTTAATTGCCCATGAGCAATTAATTCTATGTGGCAACTGGAACAAAGTCTGTGTCCTCTGTGCCCCCTTTTTAGCCTTCTGCCCCATGAGCTCAATCCAGGCTCTCTTAGGAGGACATGGAGGACACCTGAAAGTTAGCATCACCTAACTTTGGGAGAAGGGTTTGTGGTAGCCTTCAGAGGAACAGTGGCACAGCATTTCTTAAAGAGCACTTCCTTGGATCTGGTTAATTTCAGCAATCTCCTCTAGAATGGGAATATTGGAGATTCTGCAAGTTATCCAGTTAATTTTGATAACTGTTGCAGACTCCATTTTTCCCTTTCTGGGGAAGGTGGTTGAAACTGTATTAGGGGAATCTGTGAAAACAACCTAGAAAAATGCGTAATATTTGAACCCTTTTACTCAAACATGAAATGGAAACAGCACTGGTCACTCCAATAGATGACCTTGGCTGGAACTGAATAAGAGAAGTATGCCCATCTTGGATCATTCCAGACCCCTCAGTCTCTCAAACATGTTTCAAAACTGCCTCAAGGACTGGGGATTGGAAGCACTTGTTTGAACTTTGTTTTACAAAATTACTTTTTCCGATTCTAATGAACTCTGGGCAGAGAACAACAAAATCAAGTGCAACAGGCAGAAACTAAAGTAAATGTTTAATATAAGCAATTAAAGTTAATGAACTGTCAACAGTCATCGGAGGAGATGGCAGCAGCACCCACTGGGTTTGCTGGACTCACTAGCTTCTAGCACAGCAGCACTGCAAATATTCTACCACTCCTTCCTTGAAACTCCAGCATACCTCTAAATGGCAGAACAGCAAGAACACCGCCAGTTCTTCTCTTGGCAGAAGACAGAGAATAAATAACTTCTTAGGAATGAAAGAGAAGTCATTAGAATGATTGTGAAGATGGACATTTCTAACCTTCTCCCCAAAAAACCCCTAGAGTTTAGAAGATCTTTGGAGGTGATCTATTCAAATAAAGATAGGGGTTGTAGAACGTAACAACAGCATCCTTAACAAATGGCTATCTATGTGTCTATGGAGATTCTCAGTTATCCAGATCATGGTTAGAAAGTCCATTTGTCTCTTGGAAAAAAAAAAAGCACCTTTGGGACAAACAGCTAATTTATACAGCACATACCAATCTTTAGGCAGAGGATTCTATAACAATCTGTTCTTACAATCTGGGAATTTGATTTAAATATAAAGCTTAAAAACAGCTTCCCTGCAACTGCCACCTTTATACTTTAGCTCCTGTTCTCTGAAGTGAAAGAAAAAGTCAGTACCATATTGGCCACCCCAATATGGCATGCTGCAGGTATTTGGGGTTACAATTTGCATGCTGTTCTCCAAGCAGACCAACATATTTCTCGATGAGAACCCTTATTATTCTCTTTGATGGGCAAAATTCATCCAGCAGTTTTAACAGTTCTTCAGAGACCTTGATTTCCAGACATCAGTTATCAACCTGGATGTCTTTGTCTAAGCATGCTACTAGTAGTAGTCAGCATCCCTCTTTAAAAAGTTGCAGCTAAAACACAATATTCTCGCAACTCGACCTCTAATGGAATGAAATATTTTAACAAGAATGAAACAGAAATGTATGCATTTCACTGTATATTTGCTCAAACAAGTATATAAACCAAAACATATCATGTGAACCACTCCAAATTTTGCTCTGTGGTTCATCAGCAATAAAAAATCAATTGCATTAACATAATGTTCAAATACATGTTACTATATTTTTAAATATTGTAAAAACAAGAACAATGTGCATGTATAGTAAAAAGTTTGGTAATATCTTTTAAGACTAAAAAAATCATTCTAATGAATTATAAGGACTTACAATAAAATCTGTCAGGCATAAAATCTCACAGAGCTGTTGTTCTGGGATAATAGAAGAAGTAAGGAGTGTGTTATTGCTTTGAGTTATTTATAAAACTAATAAAGACGAAGTAAAAATAAAGCTACCAAATTCTCTTTATCTTTTGGCTACCGTAAACAAACATGGCTCTGTTCCTACAGTGTCCACCAGGTGGCAGCAAATTTCCCAAAATTGGTTTTTCCAATGTTCAGTTCCATAAAAAGCCCTAGTCCAGTACTTTATGGTTAAGTTGGGCTGAGAGAGTGAATGCTTGGCCTCAATTTGATTCACATTAAGATACAGTATGTGTCCTTAACTCCCAGAATTTTCCAGCCAGCATGCTGGCTGGGGTATTCTAATTGCTGGTGCCCATACAAAAACAAAAACAGTAGTACCTGTTCAACTATTACTACTCCCTGTCAAAATAAACCTTATATTATGAGATGTTCAAAATAGTATATTTTCTGAATAAATTTTGGCCTCTCATTTCCATTTTGAACTAATTCAGTGTGAAAAGGCTGTTTTTAAAACTTATAGAATGAAACCGAGTTTATCTCACAGTACTTCTTGGTAACTTAGCTCACGCACTTAACCAGATTATTTCTTCCTGATGTTACTCCTGCTTCTGAAGTTCACCACTAGGTAAGAGCTGAAAATACTTTACTTTTTTTCTGGAAAAATCTCTCTTAATCAACATAGATATTAGGCTATATAGAAAAAAGGTATGAGCAGTTTTTGTTTGCTATTGTAAACTTCATGTGGAATTGCAAAGTGATTCCTTACTACGGTATGGATGCTATTTCTACATTCCCAGCCAGCAGCGTACCAACTGTGAAGCATGCTGGGTACTTAGTCCAACATCACACACTTTCACAAGACATTCCATGCTTACCACATACGTTCCATTCAAGGCAATGTAAGGCAAAGAAGCAATAGTGTATTAAATGTGGCGCAGAGCATGTAATTGTTATGTTTAGGAAAAAAAGCCAAAAAGCTGGTACAAGATGAGGATTTTCATTATGATGGTATGGCAATGGATGAAACTCAGGAAACTTTCTTTCCGATACTGAAGACTTGAGGAAAATTGCTTACTTTCACAGTTATGCTTAATACCAAGAAAGGACCTACATCCATTTATACTGGAACAAGTGCTTTCTTAAATTTGGTAGTTCTTATACAAACAGCACATTTGTCAGCCTTGCAAGTAGAGGTGATATTCAGTAAGTTCTAACAGGTTCTAGAGAACCAGTAGTGGAAATTTTGAGTAGTTCAGAGAACCAGGGAATACCACCTCTGGTTAGCCCCACCCCCATCTATTCGCTGCCTCCCGAGTCCCAGCTGATCAGCTGGGTTTTATTTTGTTACCCTGCAGAGAACGGAGCTGGAAAGCAGGTTAGTGGGGTGGGGAGGGAATGGGGATTTTACAGCATCCTTTCCCTGCCATGCCCACCAAGCCGCGCCCAAGCCACACCAGGCCCACCAAACCACCCAACGGAACTGGTAGTAAAAAGAATTGAATACCACCACTGCATTGCAAGGTGGACCAAACAGGAAATAAAGCCAGATGAGCTAACTCTACCTCATTGTAAGATAATTAACAGAATCTTGCAAGTCAGAAAATATACCTCTCCCCTTCCACCCCACTCCTTTACAGCCCAAGAACTTGGGTCTCTTTTGAGCCTCTTGTGCTACCAACGCTCCTGCCCTGGGCTCAGCTGCCTTTTATCTCACCATTCCCTTGGCTGCTGTCTCTTCCACCTATCATCCAGTGGGCATTCCTAAATACCATTACAAGTTTTTACGGTAAGACTCTTGCAGGAAAAGAAACCCCAGAACTTTAGTGAAGTGTGACCATCAATTTATCCTCTTACACAAAGTCTTGATATGTGCTTGTTTGGGAAAAATGAGATCCAGAATCTGGAAGCTTTAGGATCAGGATGGGTAAAATCAAGTTCAGATTAAGGTGGAGTTGGTAGTCATTGGTGATAATCTAGTAGCCATTCTGAAACAGATCATGGTCTCCCTGGTAGAAATGATTCAAACCTACAAATCTTGGTTCCTACTCAAACAGCAAGTAGAAGATGAGGTCAGAGGGATCTTCACACAACTGAGGCTCTACACCAATTACCCCGATTGCCAGCTGGACCACTATAACATGCTCTGTATGGGGCTTCTTTTGGAAATGACCTAGAAGCTACAGCTGGTACAAAATTCAGCAGCTAGACCATTGGCGGGACATACCCAGTAATATAGAATTATTTTATTAAAGTTGCTACATTGGTTCCAAGGTACTTTTCCAACCTCCCACCCCCACCCCCACCCCCAAAAAAATCATTAACTTGAAAACTACTGAGAGTTTGAATTTAAATGTATGGAAACATAATTTTTTTTCAAATAAAAAAATTAAGCCTATGTAGCACGCTTACCAAGAAATACACCTTGTAAGAACAAAATCTGTCTATTGCTGGGCCAAAGTGTCATTCACTTCATCAAAACACTTTGAAGATACAATATAAATGTATTAAGCACGCAAACCACTATTGTGTACACTGAATTTCTAGCAAAGCATTGGCAGCTTGTTAAGCAGCCCTGTGGAAAAGCAGAACCACAGCTTAATAAATCTTTGGCCTAGCCAGCTAGATTTCAAAGATAAGGGAAAGGGAAAGGCAGACCCAGTGTAAATTATAGCATGATGTTGGAATGTTTTTCGACCAAGCCATCTGGATAGCCTTATTACTTATCACCTCCTAACTAGATCAGCGTGCTAGCTATAGGGCCAGTAAATATCAACAATTTAAATTAAAGGACCACTGAGTCGTGACTGATTTTTCCCTCTGGTGCTATTCAGGGTCAATTCAGCTTGCTGTAAATTATTTATTACAAGGACAACTTCAGGGCGTTCACATGTAATGGGAAAGGGGGAGGAGACTCCCATAGATTTGTAAGGGATTGTAGCTCATTTGTAAGCTGCACATTTATCACCACTGTGCATTCCAGTCATTTAGTAAAAGCCTGTTGAGGTCTCTCAACAGAGAGGGATAGGACATCATTTATCTCCAATCTACAACACAGTCCTTTCAACAGTTCCAAGGCAGCTCCACACCCATTTGCACTACTCAGGTGACCCTGAGGACACAGATAAACGTCCAGGTGACCTTAACAACACTCTAAAAGAATGTAAATGGCCAGCTGTCTGCAAGGAGTATCAATCCTTCCATACCCTACCATCCAGTCAGAACTGAAGAAGCTTCTTGGATGAACAGTGAAATGTCTTCAAAGAAAAACCAGAAAGCCCAGTTGCCTCTTAGAAAAAGCACCTTTGGGATAAGCAAGGCAAGGTTGTCCCAAATGATGGGATGACTGAGAATCTCTACAAGATTGTGTTACACCAGTAAGAAATCAGCTTTTAGTGGTTTTTGACTTATAATGTGCATCTTGTATGTGTAAGCTTGGTGATAAAGCTGTGTATTTTTTTTATTACACTGCCATATAGTGCACAGAGTCTTTCAGGACTGGGTGGAAAATAAATACATATATATTGTATTAATATGGTGTATTCAAAATAAATTAAAAACAAATATATTTTCCTCTTAAGTAAAAAAGAATTGTTTGAAACAATGAAGATGTTTTTTATGCTCACTTGTTCCTTTAGGTCTTTGCAAAAAGTGCTTTATGCTCAATAATTTTATTTTTATTTTTCAGGTATATTAGAAATTTAACACAGAATAACTGAAAACAAGTACTAAAACAGGACATATAATTTTTCAGAATCTTTTGAAGGCAAAAAATAAAAAAAATTTTTTAGAAAAAAACACTTTAACAAAATGTAAATAATTAACTTCTTTCATAAAGGCTTTTTGTGAGAACAGGTAACTTATTAAATCTTAAATAAACTTTTTTTCAGCATGAATTTAAGCATATAACAACACCAACTTATGCAACTGGTATAGAGAGGAATTTCTCCTGCTTACAACTGGCTGATCAGATGGATCAATAACAAGTGATGATCTCAGCTAAAAGGGGGAAATTAAGAAAGTTAGTAATAAATCACGTTTTTTATGTAAATAAAGTAAGAAAACTGAGCAACTTCAAATTTTCCTCAATACATTTACAAATCCTTTTCCTTTAAAGTTCAATAGTGCAGGTATTCCTCAACTTGCAACAACTGAGCACATTTCTGTTGCTAAATGAGCCATTCATTTTGCCCCATTTTTCAACATTTGAATTTTGCCCCATTTTACAACATTTCCTGTCACAGTTAAGTGAATCACTACAGTTGTTAAATTAGTGACATGGTTGTTAAGTGAACCTGGCTTCTCCAATGACTTCGCTTGTGAAAAAGTCGCAAGAGGTGATCATATGACCCCGGGACACTACAATTGTCATAAATACGACTCAGTTGCCAAATATCTGAATTATGATCCTATCAGTGGTGGTATTCTCTCAGTTTGGCCCGGTTCTGCCGAGCTGGTAGCTGCGATGAGCAGCGGAGACCAAACTGGTTCTTTCCGCCGCTCTGCTGTTGGGCCCACCCGCCCCCAACTTGGGCTCCCACACTCACCATTATCCTCTGAATTTGAAGCGCAGCTGCTTTGCGCAGCACAGCACAAGTGACCAGGAGAGTGCAGGCTTGCAGTAGGTAAGTTAGAATGCCTCTGTACCTGTGCAAACGCCTCTGGGCCTGGGAAAAGTGTGTGTTTGGCACATGCACGCAAAGTGTGTGCGCACGCACAAAATGCGCCCCACCAAGCCACGCCCACCGAACCAGTGGTAGAAATATTTGAATCCCACCACTGGATCATATGTGGGAAAACCTGCAACGGTCATATGCTTGAACAACCATAACTCACTTTTTTCAATGCAATTGTCATTTTGAACCATCATTAAATGAACTGCTGTAAGTCAAGGACTACTGGTACACAATATTTCTATAGTCATAAGCAGTTCTAATCATCAAATCCCCAAATTAAAATTTCATTTCTTTTGGTTTCAAGCAAAAGTTCAAAAGTTGTCTTCATGTACAGGTTTTTTTTTCATTTTCCTTTTTTTCTTTTATATATTTTAAAACAGACAGACAGATACAACTTTTTTTATTTTTATACCATCATCTTTGTCGTTCAAACTCAAAACAGGTTTTGTTTATATATTAAAACAAGATTAAAAACTGAGGACAAAAACCTACCTGGGTCCATTCGTATGACTTCTTATACCATGTGGGAGGAACAGCTTCACGGGGTTTTGATTTGCAAATTAAGCTGAATGAGAATTGTAAACAAAACAAAAAAAATCCGTATGAATACTAACCCCGCAATGGAGAACAGATTAATAGAGAAATAATAACACTTCAAATGCTGAAAGGATGTCACCAAAAAAAGTCAAGATTTGTTCGGTCTCATTCCAGAATGCAGAACAGAGCTTATACAAGTACATTACACCGGTAGGAGGGCCAATTCTGATTGGTTTTTGGTTTTTTGATTTATTTAACAGTGAATGAAGTTTAACAGTGGAAGTAATTATTCAGAGAGTGATGCTAGCCTTCTCTTCACTAGATAACAGATAACAGATAATCAAGAGTTGGAAGGGACCTTGTAGGTCATTTATTCCAACCCCCCGCCCAAGCGGGAGACTCTACACCATTTCTGACAAATGGCAGTCCAATCTCTTCTTGAAAGTCTCAAGTGATGGCGCGCCCACAACTTCCGAGGGCAAGCTGTTCCATTGGTTCATTGTTCTCACTGTCAGAAAGTTTCTCCTTATTTCCAGGTTAAATCGCTCCTTGTTTGGTTTCCATCCATTATTCCTTGTCTGTCCTACAGGTGCTTTACAAAATAGCTTGCCCCCCTCCTCTCAGTGGCAGCCCCTCAAATATTGGAAGACTGCTATCATGTCTCCCCTGGTCCTTCTCTTCACTAGACAAGCCATGCCCAGTTGTGCTAGACTAGCCATGCCCAGTTATGCCCAGATGTGCTCAAGCAATCTAATTAATTAGATTTGGGCATCTGGAATTGGATTTCAAAACCTAAAATGCAATTTCCAACTCTTTAAGATTTTATAATTCTGAGTTTTTTTTTACCATAAAGCTAAAAAATAAAAAAAGTAGGCAGTCCTCGACTTGCAACAGTTTGCTTAATGACTGTTCAAAGTTACAACAGCACTGAAAAAAAGTGACTTATGCCCATTTTTCACACTTATTGCAGCATCCCCATGGTCACGTGATTCACAACTGACTCAAATTTATGACGGTTGCAATGTCCTGGGGTCATGTGATCCCCTTTTGTGACCTTCTGAGAAGCCAAGTCTGGGGAAACCAGATTCGCTTAACAACTGTGTTACTAATTTAACAACTGCAGCGATTCATTTAACAACATGGCAAGAACAGTCATGATATGGGACAAAATTCACTTAACACATTTCTCACTTAGCAACATAAATTTTGGGCTCAATTATGGTCATACATTGAACACTGCCTGTAAAGGGTAAATGCAAGACACATCATATGCTTGGAGCAGTGATCTATGGTTCAGAACAATTGAGATTCCTTTCCTCTGCATCAGCCTTTTTTATTGGATGGTCTCCATGTGTTTTGGTTCTGCAACTCTCAGAACGCCTAAATATTTCAGAAACTATTTATAAGAAGGGGGGAAGGTTAAAAATTATGAAAAGGAGGGAAATGGTCTTTAACGAAATCCAGAAGCTCCCCCTCTAAATCTATACAAGGTAGTCAAATCATCCCACAATCTAAGGTTAATAAGTAGCTAGGGCAAACGGTCCCTAATACAACCCTAAATTGCATTAACAGAGGGATACAATTGAGATCAAGTGAGGTACTAATACCACTCTATAAAGCCTTCGTAAGACCACACCTAGAGTACTGCATCCAGTTTTGATCATCACACTATAAAAAAGATGTTGAGTACAAAGAGCAACCAGGATGATTAGGGGACTGGAGACAAACATATAAAGAACAGGAACTGGGCATGGCTAGTCTAGTCTAGTGAAGAGAAGGACCAGGGGAGACACGACAGCAGTCTTCCAATATTTGAGGGGCTGCCCCAGAGAGAAAGGGGTCAAGCTATTTTCCAAAGCACCTGAAAGCCAGACAAGGAATAATGGGTGGAAACTGAACAAGGAGAGATTTAATCTGGAAATAAGGAGAAACTTTCTGACAGTGAGAACAATCAACCAATGGAATAGCTTGCCCTCGGAAGTTGTGGGCACGCCATCACTTGAGACTTTTAAGAAGAGATTGGATGCCATCTGTCGGAAGTGGTGTAAAGACTCCGGTTTGGGCGGGGGGTTGGACTAGAGGACCTACAAGGTCCCTTCTAACTCTGATTATCTGTTATCTGTTATCCCAACCTTTCTGGCTCCACGGACTGGCAGCCCCCAGGGGGCAGAGGGTTTTGCATGCATATGGCCGCCATTTGCACAAATGAAACTTTGCATACTCACACACCGCTTCCGTGGCCCAGTTCCCGATGGGCTGCAGACTGGGAGCAGTCTGCAGACCAGGAGTTGGAGACCCCTGAGCTAGAATGATAGTTTGCTGTCCTTGCTTCCCTATCCTAGCAGCTCAGATACCAACTGGAAGAATTTATTAAGTATGTTCTGATGATACAGACATTTTTAAAAATATAATTTTAGTCACAGTGTTTAAACTTTGCACTAGCCTATGTGCCATCAAGTCAGGATTGATTCTTAGTGATCACATAGATTTTTTTCCATGATAAATATGTATGGATATATCTATATAGAGAGTATATTTATGTGCCTCTGTCTATCTATTTACTTATCCATCCACAGAAAAAAAAGCTATGTTAGCTATTTTTAGTGTCTTGTTGTGTACAGAAACTTAATTGCTACAGATTCATTCTCTGCCAACTCCTCCCTCTCTAAATTGTGCAAAGTAAAGCAGTATTTGTATTCTAATTCATTCTGTCAAGACATGTTTTTCAAATACATAACTTCCTCTTAAATAGTGAAGACACATAACACATACAATTATTTTAAAATGTAAATATATGAATTGCCGATGATTTTGAAGCTATTCCCCTCTTCATTTTTAATGCGCTTTAGGATCCAGGCACATTATTAATTTTATCTAATTCTATATTTTTTTAAAAACCTGCAGAGCAGGTAAACTGGGAAGGAAAGTAAACCATCCATTCAGTTTCTCCTTGAATGACAATTTTATCATTATTCCTATAGCTTGAATTTCAGAATTGCAAAGGTAAGGGAAAAAATCATTTTTCTTGCATGCTGTTATTGCTTGTATCTCCATATATAAAAGCGAAATACCACTCATGCATCATCACAAAATCTCCAGAACTGTAAAGCCTACAAACTTGAAATTTGGCACCTATGTTCCTCTTGGCTTCTAGGTGCTCACTAAGAAAGGATTCTTCGAAATGACCATCAAAGCATTAGTATTTCATATATTATTATTAACATGCTATGATGCTAAGGAGTTCTACTCCCCCTCCCCACCTGAAAAGAAATGTTTCAGATGCAAAACACAAGCAGAGGAGTTTCAGTTTCACAGCAGCTACAGAACAGTTGAGCTAAGTCACACCCAGGGTCCTTGCTTTCTCCTTCTTATTCACACAGCAAATATTGTTTCAGTTTCCAAACAGCCCTTAACTCTTTCACACACTGACAGGATGCTAGCCAGATGAATACCGATGGATGCTGGTAGGTAGAGGCACAATCCCCCCCACTTATTTTTCTCCCCAAAAACTAAGCCTGATCACATAGTTTTGTAGAGAAGCACAGGTACAGAGCTAGTTTTTCATATACAGGAATCCGATAAAATGTGTGTTTTTACTTGAACACAGAGATTGTGTGGGGAACAAGGCAACAACATTTACACTCTTCATATCATAAACCTTGAAATTATTCTCTTTCAATGCCTTCGTATTTTGGGGGGATTTTCACTTCTGATTTGTGATTTTTTAAGGCATTAGAAAACACATGTAACCTACATTACAGATAACTGTAACTTCATATAAACCAAGTAAAACCCAGACGAACGTTATATCCAGATGTGAACCTTCACTTCTATCTTTATTGTTTGTGGCATTGTGATGTACAGTCCACACAACTTGTTCGTATTTTGAGTTTATTTTTAAAAATTTGCATCCCAGTGGATAGACAATGACAGAATATGCTTCTTTGACCCACCTCAGCCTCTTTCCAGTCCCACAACACATATAATTATAAGCACAGCTCTTTTACATAGTGGCATGCACTTAATCTCTTCTGCTCTATTTCCCCGTCCATCCATTTCTAAATGCCAGTACTTCCAACAACTACAACTGTATATTTGTTCTTTGAAATTCAAGTCTAGAAAACTAACCCTTTCCTCATAAATAACACACTGAGAAGTTGGCTGTTTCCCTTCTATCCTCAAAATTTTCAAAATAGGGTTTTTTAAGCTCCATATCATTGGAGATTTCCACTAGCAATTTAGGCTTTCAAAATTAAATCAGTTCAGTTCACTTATAGGTAAAACAGAGTTAGGAGAAATAAATCACTGATTGATACTAAAAATGACAAGGTCATCTGGATGCTCAATAAAATTGCTGTCGAGAACTAGGCATACAGCATACGAAAAGGTCCACTTGGGCCAGTTTTATATTGTAGGTGGTTTATAATTAGATCTTTCCATGTGTTTTGATGAAAAATATAGCTACAGGTTTTAAAAATGCATTGATGAGACTACACGCTACAATTTTACAGGTTTAAATTGGCATTTTTATTGAAATAACATATAAAGAAAGAGGGGAAAAAATAACTGCTTTCATTCCTTCCATTTCTGGCTTCGTTATTTGTCTGATACATACCCTACTTTTCACTCAGGGGTTTAAGACAGCAGAGGTAGATAGCCCTTCCTTAGACAAAAGGTGAAGGTGATTGGGGGGAAAGGAGAGGGAAGGGGAGCTATTAACCAGCCTTCCTCTAGGCTTGATTTAGATGACAGATTCTGGCTTCCAGTTGGAAGGACTCAAGTAAATGTCCTTCCTACTGTAATTACTGAAATGCCCCCTCCAGGGTCATCTGCAGCAAGCCAAGATTTTGTTAAAATGACAAAGCATGTGTCACAACATCACAATGCAAGCTGTACTCCTTATGCATTTCCATGTGACATCTGAGGCACAAAAGGGGCAGAGTTTGCATCATGATGTCAGAACTCATTTCATCATTTATCTCTTCTGTGAATGCTCAGAGCTTCTTCCCATACAATTTACTACATGAAACGTGGAGCTGAGGTATTTTGGCTCAAGGCTAATATGGGGGAAAAACAGCTATATTTCCAAGGAGCCTTCTCTTTAGACATTATACTAAGATGCAACCTTGTGCATTTTCCTCTGGGTTTAGAGGACACCCAATTATAACACACACACGGGCTTTTATAATTATAGCACATTAAACTAACAAACAGCCACATTTGCTTGTCCACACAATGCAATTATGAAGAATAGAAACAAACTTAAGATATTGAAGAGGTAAAGGAAAAACAGAGTTTACCTTAAAAGCTTTTCGCGAGCCGTATTCTGCAATTGGGCAATTTTCTCAGGACCAAAATGCAGCAGGCCGTTTGGTTCATCAGAGGCTAATTTGTTAATACATGTCCTCAGAATGTTTATCTATAAAGATAGTGATTTTTTAAATAAGAACAGTGACAGTTGGCAATTATGCTTTAAAAACTGTTTATCTATGAAGATAGTGATTTTTAAAAAAAACAAGAACAGTAACAGTTGGCAATTAAGTTTTAAAAAATAAAATGAATGAAACCTTTTGGCTTCCAACAAAAAGCATTTACTTGATTATATTTATAAGACTTTTAAATTCAAGTTTCAGTCTATTAAAATTTGGGATTTTCAGATTTTCTAGCCAACGTCCAGCCATTAAATCAATGGTTGGATTGGAGAAGAATCATAGAAGCTAAACTCCAAGTTATTTGGAATATCCCTGATTCCTCTTAAGAGCAAGACCATACAATTTAATCAACTCATGTTACCGGCCTTATAAAGAAAAAGCACATGAGCCTGGTACAGACAGAATATTTAATTAAGATTTCTAAAGCCATCACTGTTGAACAAGTTAATGTGGCCTATTTGTGCTATTTTTTTCTTTCCATTCAACCATATCCAATTCTCAGGGACTGTCTGGAGAAATCCTGCCATTTTCTTAGTAAGGTTTTTCAGAAGTGGTTTGCTAGGACTGAGAGAAAGGTCACCCAGCTGATTTTGTGCCTAAGGTTGGACATTATACTAAGCCAAAACCTAAACACATCATACTACAGATTCAGCGACTGTCTAAATGTTTTGACGTTTTGCATGTAATAAAGGCCTCCACCATTCAGTAAACTTTGAATAATGGACAAAGTCTTTTGTTTCTGTGGCTGAATAATGTGCCAATTTTAAAATTTAAATTTACTACATAATTCACAAATTATTTAAACTAATGCAAATAAATGTTCAGTAGTTAAGGCATCAGGCTAGACAGCAGAGGACAATGAGTTCAAGTGCCGCCTTATAGCTATGAAAGCCAGCTGGGTGACCTCTGAGCCCAATCCGCCTCACAGAGTTGTTGTGGGGAAAATAGGAGGAGGAAGGTGTGTTGGATATGTGTGCTACCTTGAGTTATTTATAAAAATAATAAATAATAAATAAAATATATAGTAACACAAATTATCTTACTTTCAACGATTTGCAATATATTAACAATTTACCTTCACAAATGGTCCATTAAACTGCAAATAACCATAATCCCTAGGATTATGTGAGCTATAGTTCGAATGTATTCTAGGCATTTCAGACTGATGGTTAAATTACAAAACATTCCCAAAATAATAAAGTATGATTTCCAAATGCCCAATTATTTCCACTAATAGAAATTTTCACTTTCGCCACTGCAGACACAAGACCTAGTTTTCTGCATTTCTGATGATCCAAATTAAATCTGCCTTTTTTTGCCCACCAATATTAACAGTATGTCAATCAAATGAAACTACTCTTAATTGGCATTTTTAATGGTTCTCTATTAAAAAGGTCTTTAGAAATTTGTAATCTGCAAGTAGCCTAGGACAATGCTCAAGAATATGCCCACATTCCTGTTTACATAAAGGCAGGCATCAATTAGATGCAGGCAATCTGCCAAGGAAGCTGTTAAAACATTTGAAAGGCAAACTGTTACTTCCTCTTCAGTCAATGAATGTTAATGTTTTAAAATGTAGCATTTTATAAGCTAGTGCATACATGGGGAAACCTGAACAATCAATCAGTTTTAAATAGATTTAAATGCATCCCCAAACAGTTGTTAAGTTTGAGCTGCTTTCCCAATTCAAACTCAAGAAAAAGCAGCTTGAAAGACCAGAATTAGCATCCAGCACTTTCTACTGAGGCCCTGGTAATCTTAGTGAGTAATGTCAAATGTTTAAAACTTTTAAAAAATATGTTAAAATTTAGGGCAATTTTAAGAATCAAAACAGGTATCTTAAGACTAGCAGAACTTTGATATATCAGCCATTTTTTTCCCAAAGAGGCAGGCTGAAATTAGGGACAATTCTGCCTCTTAAGTTCCACATGTCCCCAAAATAGAGGAGAAAAAAACGGCAATTATTTCAGCCATACCCATTTAAATAACATCACAATTTCGTTAGTGAATTCCCTTATCATATTACCAAATACATTTCTTTTGCTTTCTCCATGAGTAGCATAGACATTCCGAAAGTTTTCTTTCTCCCATGTCACCATTGTTTTTACTAGCCTTTTTAAATAAAAATAATAATAAACCCAAATAAAACTTATTACAAACTCCCAACTTTTAGGCGCTGTGAATAATAAATCTGAAATGGATTAGCTTCACCTGATTCCATCAGAATAGAGGTTCATTCATAAAACTGTTTATAGTTTCTGTAACTCCAACTAAATCTATGAGCTACTTTGGTGAGTCGCTATAGATTTTCAGCCTTAGTACACTCCTGTTCTCTTACCATTATTGTTTTGCAAAGCAATTTATGTGTAAAATGAATACACAATACAATGGCAAATTATTGCAGAAAAATAAAAACATGCTATCTTTGTTCATGCATTGAATTCGAACATTGGTGGCTTTGTACGTTCCCTATGGTTCCATTTTTATTTGTAAGGAAATGGTAATACACTATTGGAAGTCGTACCCCATTCTGTTACGTTATTCTGCTGCAGTTCTAATATTTAGAATATAGATACATAATACTATGTCTACAATTGAACAAGCAAAATTATCTATAGGTTACAACCAGGCAATCTTGTTTCACAGAAACCAGAGCGTTTGTTAATTTTGAAAAAGCCAGATTCATTCCAAGAAACCTAAGGGAGTAAGTTAAGATGTGACATTCCAATGGTGTACTGTCATAATATCTGAAAAGCCGAAGCACATTTTACCTGTGTTATGTCATCTGCATCAATCATCACATCAAATGCAAGTTCCATATCATGATCTTGGAGGACTGGGCTGCCCAGAGACTGGTTCCAGCCCAAACCACATAGGACACCAGTGTATCTCTTTCTGCTTTCATCAACCCTGAAGTAACAAGATTATTAACAGTAAATGTAAGAAAATACAGCACCTATGCCTGATACATAATGTCATAACAATCCTGTATAGACATGAGTTTGCATCCTTACATCATTTCCATAAAAGAACTATTTTCACTTGCAGAAAGCTTTTTTTAATTGGTTCCAGTTAAAATGATGGATGAATAGAGACCTTCATTATCCCATCACCAAGTTCATAGCCCCCCACTGCCCCTCCCCCTTCTCCAATGAAGCAAATTTCCAGGGGCTCAAATAAAGCAGGTTTCCAGAAGCTGCAAAGAAAAATGGGAGAAAAAAAACATTTTTTTCCCAGTGATCACCAAGTTCCTCCTTGGAAATGTTCGCATACCTGAGATCTATCACAGGAGAAAAGAGCATGCTCAGTAATGCTGGGAGACCAGGGATATGAGGCATGAGAGAAGTTTCCTTTAGAATCATTGTTGAGCCTATCACCATAAAAAGCAAATTAACATGACCTTTCAAAACAAAAAAGTCATACAGACAGTTATAGCTTTGATTAGAAATACAGTGTAGGCAGGAAAGATTATACATGCTATAAACCAGGATGTCCAACCTTGACAACTTTAAGACTTGTAATTTTTAAGTTCTGTAGACTTCAACTCCCAGAATTCCTCAGTCATCATAAATACAAAGCATTTTTTTTACCTGTTGCATTTACAGATATGGAAGCAGAAACCAGTATTTGTTGAAATGCATTTTCAGGACCATCAACTAAAACCACAGAGTTTACGCTCTCCTTCTCTACCAAGATTGTTCTAAAGGACAGGAAAAGATTCAACATGATTTATTACAAGAATTTTTAAAAGTCCAATATTGCAACATTTCGTTGAGTCAGTTTACTGAAAATTTTCCAAATGTTTAAAAATAAATAACGCCATAACTATTTAAAAACGCTCTATATACAATTATTACACAAACCATAATAAGCACAGAATATTCTAGAAATATCTCACAACCACCTCCCTCATAGAGAGCAGAAAATAAATACAAAGGAGAAGTGCTTCCAGATTGGAGAATTCACAGAACTGCTGGGGTGGAGGGTGGACGTGTAGGTTTTCTATCTCTATTTCCTTATTGGTAAACAAAAGAGGAAAAGTTAGAAAAATGGGAATGGTGAAATGAATTGGAGATGCTGTTTTCTGCAACCTGCACAACCTTCATAAAATGTTGTGAATGGACAGAGTAATAATAAACACAAAAAAGGTTGTGCTCCTTTCAGCCTTAGTTCTTAATCAAACATCTGGACAAAAGGTCCATCTGAAGCTGTGTTCTGTATTCTGCAGTGGTCCACCAGATATTTTAGAGATGCCTAAAAGCAAAACATGAAGTTTATAATCTTACATAGTTGACCCCAAAGCACTGTAGACTGTATCTTACCTGAATCTGGAAATTCTGGTCATACTGCTGAATTTTAGGCTGCAGACATTGAAGGGGCCAAGTAGTGTGACCTTTTCAAAAGAGAGAGAGAGAAAATGGGATTAAGAAGACATCTGCAACATGTCAGTTTGTTAGTTTGTTCAGTTTCTTTATTACATTAAGTGAAATTCCATGTTTCATTTTTGTGTCTTGGTTTCCGAGATAACATATACACCTCAAAACAGAAAGCCTCTTCTGAGGCTCCAAAACAGCTTGTACTAGCTTTGTAAGCTGGGCTTTTCAGGATTAGCATGCAGCCCAAAAGGAGGCAGAAAGCTCTTGATTTAAACAAAATATAAATAATATAATGCTTGGTCATTCTTTGCAGATACAAAAATCTTGCACCTGTATATCTTCTCTTTAGTCATTGCCAAAAACAGATTGTTTAAATAACATGTGAAACCTAAACTGCAACTAATCTTAATCAGAGTATTTTGAAACAAATCTCTCTTAATTCAAAATGTAAAATTGGTTGTTGCAACGAACTGTAAGATTAAACAGGGAGGGAGGGAGGGAGGGAGGGAGGAAGGAAGGACGGACAGAGAGAAGGAAGGAAGGAAGGCTCTTGAAACCTCTTCCATAAAATCCCAGAGAGGTAAACTCACACCTACACATATGTCCTGGTCTTGTTCATTTTTCTAAAATTGTCTAGTTCTCTATGAACAATAACAGCACAAATGCTGTACAAATTAAATTTTAATAGGTACAAATGTTTTGGTTTTTCAGCTGTTTTCACAATGGCTTTAGTTTGGAATGATGAAGCAGTCCTATTATTCATAAAGACAGGAAAAAACCAGCATTTCATACTTCAGGTGAATCATTAAATGCTCACCACTAACATGGTGTTGGGAGTGGCAAAAACCTTTTAATACATTTTAAACTTACTTTGCAGTTTGGGGGACAAATCCTCTTAGCAGAGCAGCGCTCCAGTATTTCAGTCAGCGCATTCTCTTCTCTTGAGCACATCTGGAGGGATGCCGATTTATTTCCCTCACACTTTTCTGGATTTGAAAACATTTGCTCGAGAGTTTCATGATTTAGCTAAAGAGATTGGGAGGAAAGATTTTGACAGGTGAGTGAAAAGGCAGGAAGAGAAATTTGTATTGTTATGGTTGGTTGAACAGTGTCAGTCAGCTTGTACTGGATTTGGCATTTTTATCCACTTATTGATAAGGAGCTGACATAGGTCAACGTCACATGTTTTAAGCTGTTCCAAGTAAAGCTGCTTTTGCAATTGAATGATGACAATTCTATCAATACAGATGGTGCTCCAGATGTTTTGGAATTACACCTAAGGTGCTTGATACTATTGGTATTATTTTTGCTTTCTTTTGCCACAGTTATTCTACTTCTACATATTTTGTGGTTTTCTCAAGTCAGGTATTGACTTCTATGTCCATTATCTAAACCTGTTTCTTTATCAATATTATTATTTAATAGTTTATATTATTATTTAATAGTTTATATCAGGGGTGTCAAACTCAAGGTTGTGGTTGGATCCAGCCCACGGGGCCGCCCAGGTCAACCCAATGTAAAGAGAAAAGATCTGGCCAGGATGACTTCGGCCCGGTCTACCCAATGCGAAGAGGAAAGATCGGGCCAGTCTGGCTTCAGCCCGGTCTACCCAATGTGAAGAGGAAATGTGCCAGCAGTTTGGGGAGTGGCATCAAACTAGCCATGCCCACCCAGTCAGCCACACCCACCCAGTCGGCCACACCACCTCCCCCCCACAGGGTCAACCACAGCCCTGATGAGGCTCTCAATGAAACTGAGTTTGACACTCTTGGTTTATATCATGCCTTTTTCTATAGTGCGTATCTATAGCACTCCCTCCTCTAATTTTGCTTCACAAGAATCTCCTTTGATGTAAGGTGGGCTGACAGAGAGAGAGAGAGAGAGAGAAGCCCATAGTTACATTGTAAGCTTCCATATCTAAAGATAAAAATGAACCTGTCTTTACAGTCACATCCCAACATACTCCCCAATACACCACACTGACCCTCACAATAAAAATCTCATTACTCCAGCCCGTTCTCTTCAACGGATGAAAAACACTATGGCCCATTTCCTACTTCTTCTCACTTCAAATACAGGATTCAACAAACTTACTTTTAATCCTTCTGTTGGAAGACGCCATATCCTCCTCACCCTTCCTCATGACAAATGAGAAATTCTTTCTCACACATAAGGAAAACTGTAAGACTCAATTACACTAAGGAAAATTTGAGAATCAAAGTCCAAGCAACAATACAGGAAAAAATGAACGGAGAGAACAAAAAAATCTTGCAGAGTAAACACAAGAGCATAAGCATTATTCCTCAAATAAGAAGGGCAGTGAGGATAATTGAAATGGGAACCCACAACTGCAAGTTCAACTGGTTCTAATCCACCAAAGTAGTTAGTGAGAAGAAAGTGCCAGTTCAAGATGTTTGTTTTTTAATGTAGTTTACAAAAATAACATATTGCATGGAAGTTGTGGTACTCTACCTGCATCTTCTAAATTTATTAGATGCTGGAAAAGTTTAGAGGAAACTAAGATGTGCATTGTCTAAAATTTCATGGATCGCAGTCCCTTTCGCTAAATGTATGGAAGAATTTATGCATGCATATGTAAAACCTATCAGAGAGTTGGGAAGGGAAGGGAGGGGAAGGCAGAAGGGGGGGGTTGGGGGACAGGGAAGTGAGCTGAATTAATATAATAAAGGTATCCTCATTATATGCTGTTGAGTTGTGTCGTGTAAGTACCGTATTTATCGGCGTATAACACGCACAGGCGTATAACACGCATTCCCTTTAAGAGGGAAATTTCAGGAAAAAAATATGCGGCGGGCGCAGCGCTGACATCACGTCACGACGCTGCGCCGCCGCTAGGCACTATTGGGAACGGGATTCCTTAAAGAGGATTCCGCTCCCTGGACATCGGCGTATAACACGCATACATCATTTGCCCCCTATTTTCAGGGGGAAAAAGTGCGTGTTATACGCCGATAAATACGGTAACTTTACACTCTACTTAAATCATGAGAATTTTAAATCTCCCAATCAATTTCAGCTCATCTGCTTCACAATAAAATCCATCTTTTCTAAATGTTCTTTTGTAAAGGCATTAGAACATGCCCTAAAATAGCATATCACAAAATCACAAAAGAGAAGGACGATAGGAATAGCACTTAGACTTATATACCACTTCACAGTGCTATAGAGCCCTCTCTAAGTAGCATGCAGAGTCAGCATATTGCCCCCAACAATCTGGGTCCTCATTTTACCCACCTTGGAAGGATGGAAGGTGAACCTTGAGCCTAGTGAGAGTCAATCTGCCAAACTGCAGGCAGCCGGCAGGCAGCAGAAGTAGACTGCATCCTAACCACTGCGCCACCACGTTTCTATAGTGGTGGGTCAGTAACCATCCTCAACTCCTCAATTTCCTGCATCCACAAGTTCAAGAAACCGCCCAGAGCCCCTCTGTGAGGGAGATGGGTGGTAGGACAGACAGACGCATACTACAGTTCAAATCATTTCCCTAACAGAAATAACATAAAGAGAAAAATCTCTTACTTTTGATTCATAAGAGTCATCTGCAGGTTCTGCATAGCCTTCTTCAATAAGTATGGTACAGATATTCACCACTTTCGCAATGCCAGAGCACTGAAACACATCCACATGTAAGATGCCATGTACAATTGAGAAAATCTTCACCATCAGAACATGGTCGCTGACCAAGGAAGCAAATCTTTGGTTTGCAGCATAACTCCATTGTTCTCCACAAACAAGAGACCATGCAGAAGGACGTATTCTGCGCACCTTGAATTCCAGAGCCTGAATAAAAAAATATCAAAACAAATACATATTTTCCAAGAAAATGAAATATTCTGACTGCCACACTTCCCTGCCCCCCCAGAACACTTTCCTGCCATTCATTAAAAAGTAGAAAAAAGTTTACCTGAAAGGGAATCTCTTGGAGGTTGCTTGGAATCTCTCGCAACTGGTTTAAAGCCACTTTTGATCTATTGCCATAATCTACATAGAACACCTATAAAACAAAAAGCAATTAAAAAGAAACTTCTTCCAAGGCTTAGAGAAGAAAAGAGTGCAATCCCAGGTGACAGTGAGCTAAATTACAAACACATTACATAAAGCCAAACTGAAGCCAAACTAAAGCCAAACTGAACAAAACGTGGATTAACACAAAGTGCAGAGCTGTTGTGAAAGTGGAGGTCTGCTTCATTCAAAACAGGACGCTATTTCCTATTGTTGCTTCAGTCAGCTCTTTCTATCATCTCCCCCAAAGAGTATTGTAATGGACTATTCTTTTCCAAACATTCATTAAAACATGGCCCTGTACTTAAAACTTCTCCAAAACAAATCAAAGAGCACCCCAAAGACGCCACCCATAAAAATAATTTGATCTATGGATACCCGAGGATGCTTCAAGGGTATCCCTGCTAGTTCCAGCGAATGCCAGAATTAGACAGGAATAGCAGATATTTTTATGTGACTAGGAGTATATATGTTCCAAATCAGCACAACCTCTGCTGCCCAAAATAGTACAACTTATTGCTCAACTTATTTCTCAAATGGGAAGATAATACTGTAGTTACACAGGGACTCTTGCTATTCAGAAGTAGGATTTTTTTTTAAAAAAAAATGTCAAGTCTTCTATTCCTTTCCAAAAGCGATCCATGGTTTTATTGCCTTTACTCCAAGCAATCCATAATGTATTTTTAAAATGTAAGCAGAGACCAGTCAATTTTTCCCCAGATGCTGCCATCTGTTATGTTAGACCAGCATCTTTCAACCTTGGTGACTTTTTAAGATGGGTGAATTTCAGTTTCCAGAATTCCCCAACCAGCTCTGCTCTGCAGAATTCTGGGAGTTGAAATCCAACCATCTTAAAGTCATCAAAGGTCAGAAACACTGCACTAAACATATTCCGTACGATTATACTTGCACATGCTCAAGGATTTGAAAAAGAAGCACCTGGGCACTGTCTCCAGACACGTACAGGATTTGGACACGGTAGTACCTCTCTTTTTCCCATTCAGTAAAAGGTGCCAAACAAACCAAGTCTGGATAAGGGCGAATAGGCAAAGAGGTCAACTCCAGCTGGCCAATCTCAGCAGACAGTTTTTGTAATGCAGCCATACTTCTTTCATCTGTTCTGTATCCACAGAAGTGCCCAACTTCTACAATCTGAAAAAGGCAAGATTTGTTTGTAGCATCCTCTGACACAATACACACACAGAAACAAGCCTGGATTTTCAAACTGCTCTTAATTAACAGGATTTAGTTAATACTCAGTTAAATGGACAGTTTGGGAGTCAAGTAGGACAAGAGAAAAACGGCAGAAATGTAAATGATTTATCTCAGGATTTACCCCAAATTATTATATTTTGCAAGTGACTATTTTGAGCTAATTATTTCTGTCTTTCTGTAACATTTAAATATTTTTAGCTCAATTGCAAATCATGGGCATGTTTTTTTCGGCAAAATTAACCATGTTTTAAGGCGTACTCTTTAGGAATGAAGCTACGGGTAGTCTTTGCTTAATGACAATTGTAATTGGCAATTCTGCCTCTAGGCAAGATGATCATTAAGTGAGGCAAAACATGAATGCAACAATTTATGACCTCATTTCCACTAACTCATGGGGGGTAATTAAGCAAGACATTATATGACCGCAACTTGCAATTTTGTTGCCAACTTCTTCACTGATTCTAGCTAGCTGTGAAGCACTCAAATGTCAGTCACATGGCTGTGGGGATGCTGCAACGGTTGTAAACAAAAGGATCAGTCTTGAAATTACTTTTTCAATCCTGTCAAAACTTCAAATGGTGGCTAACAGAGCAGTCATTAAGCAAGGATTACCTGTACTACAATTCACAAGCTAATGAAGCTGTGTTTTTTTTAATCAGAGAAGTTGGTACTTTTCAAAGTCTTCAAGGGACCAACCAAATATCCCAACTCTAGAATATCTATATCCAAAATCTCAGGGGCTGCCATAAAGAAGAGGTAGTCAAGCTATTCTCCAAAGCACCTGAGAGCAGGACAAGAAGCAATGGGTGGAAACTGATCAAGGAGAGAAGCAACCAAGAAATTTCCTGACAGAACAATTAATCAATGGAACAACTTGCCTCCAGAAGTTGTGAATGCTCCAACCCTGGAAGTTTTTGAGATTGGATAACCATTTGTCTGAAATGGTATAGGGTTTCCTGCCTAAGCAGGGGGTTGGACTAGAAGACCTCCAAGGTCCGTTCTGTTCCGTTCCGTTCCTATTCCTATTCCATGTCTACTCTATTCTATTAACAGGCAGGAGGGAAAAGTCTAGCATTTAAAAATCCTGGAACACACAAGTCTTTGCAGAATATACAGATGTGCATCTGTGGTTTCATTATTGTTGCCAGTAAAAAGACCTATCTTGCCCACTTGTATGCCTTGGCAGAAAATCATTTAAGATATTAAATGACGGGAGAGCTCAGATTTATAAATGTATCTGGTGTGAAGTTTGACACAAATGATTTTAAGATTTAGTTTCCTAAGAAACTGTTTATCTCCCCCATTTTAGAGTTCACCCCACTAAAGTTGAACAGGTACTGCACACAACGGCACACAGACATATTTATCACCTACCTCAGTGACACAAATAGATAAATCAAGACTATTTATAGTCGGCAGTTTTTCCAAGGTATTACAAAACTTCTGCACGGGAGTCACAGTATGTTTCTGAAAGTCAACGTTCACTCTAAAAACAAGTTATCAAAATAATAAACAAATGCTAGTCATTAATCATGTATAATCTAAAGATAATAAGTAAGTAAGTCACCTTTGGTGCTATTCCAGAAAGGTGGCCTATGGACCCTGTTTTTCCATTATCAAGATAAATAAAACTGTTTAAAACTGTTTAAAACTGTTTAAATCAACTGTAAGGTACGCAAAAACCTTTTATCAACTTGATTAGGATTGGAACCCCACGTTCCCTTCATTGTATTTTCATTGCATTTCCTGGGTGTGAAGCCTTTTTATTTTCTATACAAAGGATGGGCAGTTGTGCTATGCCTTCCACAGAATTATTTTTTGCCTATGACTATTGGCAAACATTAAAAAACCAAACAGTGGACTAGGAAGGAGCTGATTAGTTACTCATAATTCATTTCATAAAATGCCAGATCAAGCGAAAAAAGTCATGCCATTGTGCTGTCCAGCCAGTGTATGGGAATTGGATAGTTAGGTAGCAATTGTGAGCTGTTTGTTCCCTGAAGGGAATGCATCATGGTAAATGTAGTTAAGATATCCTGGGAAATGTAGTCCATGTCATGTGACCATATCTGTAATCCTAATTGGTCACTAAATTGACCCTCGATGGGTTGGGGGAGTTTTCCTCACTCTTGGCTGAACTCTTGGTAACTGTTCTACTTCTATCGTTACAAGATGGGAGAAAAAGGATAGGAGATAAACCATCTTTTTACCTACAATACAGATATGCAAAGGATTGGTCATTAAAGAAGAACTTCATCACAAATGTGAGTTATGAGGATACCTGATGAACGAATAAAGTACTTTGTTATGGATGTTTTGTGGAGTTTATCTATCTGCATCTGTACAGAATACAGAATAGCCATGATCTTGGACATTCCAAGCCTCTTCTCCATTTCGGAGCTCCATATCACTCAGTATTTAGTATTCCAAATTCTGCATTTTTTTTTTAAAGCTTATTTCATATTAGAACCTTGCAAGGTATATTTTGGCTCTGCTTAGGCATTGCTGAATCAAAGCAAAACAGCTTCCCTGTCAGATAAGGAACCAAATCGTTTCATAACAACATACCTCATGTCCCTTAGAATGTTGCCACTTATACTTCCCAATTTGTCCTCTATCTCCTCTGAGGAATGGGTGTTCAGTTCAAATGGAATCCTCATTTGTGCCATTTTAAGAGCAAAATACACGGCAGGAAGTGTTTTAAAACGTTCTGTAGGATTCCGAGTAAATTCTACAAAGGCTCTAGGTAAAAAAATTAAAAAGAAATAAAATTGTCTCAGGAGGAAAATATGGGCATGTGCATTTGTGTACAAACACACACATGTAAATATACAGATAAAGGTATTAAGATATTAAGATAATAAGAGAGAGGGGAAGGGGAGAGAGGGAGAGACAGATGATGATGATGATGAAGACAGACAAGACAGACAGATTGATTTGCTTCCCACTTCATTCACAAATGGTGAAAGAAAGAAGGGAACTGAGGTGTGTGGTAGAGCAGTGGTCACCAACCGGTGGGCCGCGATCCACTAGTGGGCCGCGACAAAATTTTGGTGGGCCGCAGAGAAATCTCACCCGCAGAGCACCTCTCCCAAAGCAATTAATCCAGGCTGTTCAGAAACACAAGGCTGCGCCACCCACATGGCCCGCAGGGACCCTCCCCGCCCACTCACTCCTTACCTGGCAAACTTGCCTGCTAAATTGCTATTTTTCCAACCATCAGCTGTTCTGCTATGCCGGGAAATTTAGCTTAGTTAGAAAGCAGGAAAAGGTTGGATTTCTAGCTTTCTGGCTAGTCTTTAGATCTTTAGTTCTGCTTTTAAGCACAGCCGAACCTCCCTTAGGACTGAAGGTTCTATTATTTAGTGCAGACTCACAGCAAGCAAATTTTATGTGACAGACTGAGCTAGCTAATGCAGATAGATAGATCTCTGAATGAATTGTGATTCTATGAGCAACTCAATCTGCCTGCCTGCTTTGCCTGATTTTGGGTAAAAGTTGCTCTTTTTTAATAAAAGATTCAATATTTACATACATGGTGTGTTGTGAGTTAATTTTATGAGTTTGCTTGCAAGCAAATTTTATGTGACAGACTGAGTTAGCCGATGGCAGATAGATAGATCTCTGAATGAATCTGTGATTCTGTCAGCAACTCAATCTGCCTGCCTGCTTGCTTTTGGGTAGAAGTTGCTCTTTTTTATTAAAAAATCAATATTTATATAAATATTTATAATATTTACATACATGCCATGCCCAGACAGTCACATGACCACCAAGCTACAACCACAAATTAGGCCAGGCCCACAGAACCTGTTAGTGGTCCCTGGGATTTAAAATCAAGAGTTTGGTGGTCCCTGAGGTCCAAAAGGTTGGTGACCCCTATGGTAGAGAATGTGCAAAAGAAGAAGAAAGTGAACTAGGATAATGTTGGTAGAACAGTCCTAAGAAATGTTCCTGATGCCTTCTGATTCTCCAGGATTCCCATGGAAATATACAGAAACAAAGCATGACTATCAGGAGGACTCTTCTAGATACTGAGGGAAGTAACATAAAACTGGAAATTTAGAGCAAGCAAAAGGGAGCAGGAACCAGGAGAGGGGCAATTCATATTTCTGTATTTTCTGTTGCTTCCTGACATAATGATGTTTTCTTCCCATAACAGAGCCATCGCCAACATACAAAGATCTGAGAACCACAATACAGAAATTTGGGAATTCCCAGTGGGCAAAAGGAGAGGCCAGGAACCTCAGAAGGGCAGTCAGAGGAGTAACCGAATGAGCCCTTGGCTGAAGAGGAGAGAGAAGAGTTGCAGCTGATTACTCAGAAGATGGTTAACAAAAACAAAAATTACATAAAATGAAAACATACAAATCCACTTACTTGCTTCCATCATAAACAATGGATTTGACTTGACCACACTGTCTGAATAGAGATTGCAGCTGCTTATAATACAGAAAGCCATAGGGAGGAATGTTCTTTAACTGTTAGGAAAAATAAATGTGCATCTTCAGAAAGGTTGTATTCTGATACTTTTAAACAAATTCATTATTATTATTATTATTAGTAGTAGTAGTAGTAGTAGTAGTAGTAGGAGTAGGAGTAGGAGTAGTAGTAGGAGTAGGAGTAGTAGTAGGAGTAGGAGTAGTAGTAGTACAGCAGCAGAACCGCAAAAACTTGTGCTACCCGGAACATCATACATTTTAAGAAGATACTTGGTTGATACCTAGGATGCTGGCAGAAACGCGTATCAACCACCAGCGCAAGTCAATGACATTTGTGATACATTTTTAAATGTTCAGTTGACTGAGTTTCATGTTTAATGAATAAAAGAGATAATAATAACATGAATTAAATCATTATTCAACATTTATACAGTATATTCTAAGATAGATTACTACGGCAAATATCAGTTGATTAAATCTAGCTCTCCTATCATGAACAGCCTAACTTCTACTAGTATCCAAGTTCTGCCAAGTGTGACCTTACTTCCTGCAAGAAGAATATAGTGTCTCTTGGCTACCATGAAAAGTTTCACTGGTTCTTTTTTTTTCTTTGTTCCCAATCTCTATTCCTCCAACATTTTTCTCTTTTCCACATATTCTTCTTATAATCCACTGTAAGTGGACTTGAAATAAACTAGGAAATGGAGCAGCTATGGCTACTGTAGCCATAAAAATGTATGCCATAATAAATACTTGTGCCACAAAATTATGTTACATTGGCCACAAAAGATTAATGCATCTACCATGTGGAAAATTAAGACCCCTTTGTGAAAGCCACTTAAAACTTAACTTACATACCATCACTGTTGTTTTGGGATCTCTGCCTGACAATTCCCTTATAGCAACTTCTTTATCATGGTGCACAAAGGTAAAATAATTTGGATAGAAAGCTCCAGCAATCACCACCTGAGAAATAAGGGGGAGTTGTCATCATCATAACCATCATCATTTTAACCATTTTCTTTCTACTGCAGGATGAAGGTCTCTTCTGCATGTTTCCAATCTAGATAGTCTTGAGCTTTCTCTTACCAATTGGGCCCACAATACTTGCTGATGTTAAGAGGGAGTAAGTTGCTATAAAAGGCGGACTTCCCTCTTAGCCAACCCCTTCTTCCCTCTGCAGTTACTTAGATGATCATGTGACCCAAGCTTATTCCTGGTTACATGATTTTACTCCTCTAAATTACATTAGTTTTATTCCTTTTGTTAGAAAACTACTTGGCCATGACATCTATGAATGGAATAGTTCTTTAAAATATAACGATTGTTTCACCATTTGTTATATACCTACTGAATCCTTACAATTTATATTGACTGTTTCCTAGTATGATTTGATTGCTTATTGTATCATATGATTATTATTAAGTGTTGTACCTGATAATTCTTGACGAATATATCTTTTATTTTAATGTACACCGAGAGCAATATGCACCAAGACAGATTCTTTGTGTGTCCAATCACACTTGGCCAATAAAGAATTCTATTCTATTCTATTCTATTCTATTCTATTCTATTCTATTCTAT